TTATTATTATTATTATTATTATTATTATTATTATTATTATTATTATTATTATTATTATTATTATTATTATTATTATTATTATTATTATTATTATTATTATTATTATTATTATTATTATTATTATTATTATTATTATTATTATTATTATTATTATTATTATTATTATTATTATTATTATTATTATTATTATTATTATTATTATTATTATTATTATTATTATTATTATTATTATTATTATTATTATTATTATTATTATTATTATTATTATTATTATTATTATTATTATTATTATTATTATTATTATTATTATTATTATTATTATTATTATTATTATTATTATTATTATTATTATTATTATTATTATTATTATTATTATTATTATTATTATTATTATTATTATTATTATTATTATTATTATTATTATTATTATTATTATTATTATTATTATTATTATTATTATTATTATTATTATTATTATTATTATTATTATTATTATTATTATTATTATTATTATTATTATTATTATTATTATTATTATTATTATTATTATTATTATTATTATTATTATTATTATTATTATTATTATTATTATTATTATTATTATTATTATTATTATTATTATTATTATTATTATTATTATTATTATTATTATTATTATTATTATTATTATTATTATTATTATTATTATTATTATTATTATTATTATTATTATTATTATTATTATTGTTGTTATTGTTGTTATTGTTGTTATTGTTGTTATTGTTGTTATTGTTGTTATTGTTGTTATTGTTGTTATTATTGTTATTATTGTTATTATTGTTATTATTGTTATTATTGTTATTATTGTTATTATTGTTATTATTGTTATTATTGTTATTATTGTTATTATTGTTATTATTGTTATTATTATTATTATTATTATTATTATTATTATTATTACTATTATTACTATTATTACTATTATTACTATTATTACTATTATTACTATTATTACTATTATTACTATTATTACTATTATTACTATTATTACTATTATTACTATTATTACTATTATTACTATTATTACTATTACTATTATTACTATTATTACTATTATTACTATTATTACTATTATTATTATTACTATTATTATTATTATTATTATTATTATTATTATTATTATTATTATTATTATTATTATTATTATTATTATTATTATTATTATTATTATTATTATTATTATTATTATTATTATTATTATTATTATTATTATTATTATTATTATTATTATTATTATTATTATTATTATTATTATTATTATTATTATTATTATTATTATTATTATTATTATTATTATTATTATTATTATTTTATAATAATAAAAGTGAGAAATCATGTTTGAAATTTTCTGATCTGAATCTTTCTGATCTGGTCTGATCTGATCTGAATCTTTCTGATATAGTCTGAATGATTCAAATCTGATGTGATCTGAATCTTTCTGATCTGATCTGAATTTTTCCGATCTGATCTGATCTTATCTGAATAAAATAAGAATAAGCAATAAGTAATAAGAATAAGACGAACAGAACAGCACCTTAATTAAAAAATACTCCGTATGTAGTATTAAATAATATTATGTAATTCATACTAGTTATACTAGAATTTGGAAACTATTAGAGTGTATGTAGCAAGAATACACATTGTATAAAAGCAAATATGTACTTAAACCTTTTGAGTGATTATTTGTAAATCATGACTACTAATTATTAAATGATAGATCGAACTTTACATAAAATATACTTCGTATGTTTCAACAATTTATTTGAATATTTAGTAAAGAACTAATAATTATTTTGCAATGGTTGTAATTTTTTAATTGTAATTATAATAATTTTGATAGTAAAAGAACAATATTTAAGATACTAAAAATCAATATAATATGTTTGTATATTGGCCCGCGGGCCAACCCGCAACCCGGTGGGCCAACCCATTTAAACCCGCAACCAGCAAGGGTTGACCCGCGAAACCCACGAACTAAATGAGTCAGAAAATCACAACCCTAACCGACCAATAAATGGATTTAAACGGGTCAGCCCGCGGGTTTCGGCCCATTTTGACGGCTCTAGTTAACTTTGAGGTTTTTATATTAATTACGTAGTTTTATGTATTTAAATTTGAGGTTTTTCCTTACATGTGACTAGATTGAAGCCAATTTATCGTTAACTTTTCCCAGTGAATTTTGAAAAATGCAAAAAAAAAAAAAAGAATAAAAAAAATCATCAAAAATTCCCTCAACTTTTCGGACGGCGGTTTTGTAGCGGCAGAGCAGATGTGGAGGCTGGGGACTAGGGCAGTGGTTCACATTGGCCTGTATTTCAAATTTAATAAAGTCCATTGAAATCCATATGATTCCTTGAAATAGAATTCCTTAAAATTCTATATGAATCTCATGGAATATGTAGAATTCTATTAAAATCCATAGAATTTACAATCCTTTAAAATCATTTAAAATCCATGTTGCGGATACCCCCTTAGACTTTCTAGTGCTACAAATAGTATAAGAGAGTGTTTGCAAGTGCTTTTGCTTAAAAAAGCACTTTTTGAAGTGATTTTGGAAAAAAATGATTAATATTAAAAGTTGATAGTTTTTAAAAAAAAAATGATTTTGAAAAGTAAAAAGTTAGTGTGATTGATAAAATAAGTGTTTTTTGTGTAATAGAAAAGTCAAAAACATTTTTCAAACAAAAGTCGACAAATGCGTTTTTAAGTAGAAATTGTCTTTTGAAAATACTAAGGAGTAATTTAAGTTAAAAGGAGAGAAGAGCCTTTTTTTAAACTATTGCAAACACTGCCTAACACATTTTCCTCCCAACCGCTATCGCATTATCTTCTCTCCTTTCTTACCCCATAGCTATAATCAGTGGCGGAATTAGAAAATAAATTAAGTGGGGGCACAATAACATATGTTAAACCATCAAATTAATAATATTATTCTCTTAACAAATCATACCAATAAATCATAAGAAATTTAATGAAAAGTGTTAATGTAATGATGCTAAATAGATTGTCTAATCCTACTCTCACTCCCACTAGCATCTGTATCTATAACTGTCACTCGAACATAAATGTTTGAATAACTAGCACCCGAACTAATTCGTGCTTTAGTTGGGGGAATTCTCAATTGACATAATTTAATATCGATAACAACTAGGGAAAAAAAGATAATTAATACAAATTATTATAAATTCATAATTTAATATCTATAACAATACGTAATTTACAACTACATAATACAATAATACACAGTAAACCAATAACCAGTATACACTAAATGTGTACATATTTTTCAAATCATATTTATGAATTGTAAAAATTCAATAATCAAATACTCCGTATTTGATACGTAGTATTTAATTTAATTCAAAGAGGCAAAAATTGGAAAACTTAAAGGAAGGAAGGCAGACTTCGGACGGCAGGACAAGCACGACGGTCAGCGACCTGGCAGTCTGTGTGGCCAGTGGCGGACCCACTAAGGGTCCCACGGGTCCCGGGACCCGTGCACTTCCAAAATTTTATCTATATATATCATATATATCTTTGACAATATTAATTAATAAAGGTATATATATATATATAACAAAGGCGACCTGAGAACCAAATGACAGTTGCAGTGGAATGGGAGCATAAGAGAGGTATAGTGGCATCGTTCTTGCGCGAGGTGCTGGGTTCGACTCCGCTGACCTTAATTTTTTGGTTTTTTCAAACACTTTATTTTCAAAGACCAAAAGGAGGTCGTTTTAGTCTTTTTTGTTAACCCCTACCAAGTCCTAACTAGGGGTTTATAAACGAAATGAATAATCTCAATCCATTTCCGCCATTCAGATTCGAAATTGTGGATTCAAATACAGATTAGTTTTGGTATTCAAATAACTTTCTAATATGAGTACACATATATTGATTGTGTATTTATTCGGAGTACCCCTGTTATTTTTGAAATCTTTATTCTAAAATATCAAATGACGTCGTTTAGGCCTTTTTAAACCTTATGCCAAGCCCTAAATAGGGTTGTAAACGAAACGAATAATTTTAATCCGATTCGAGATTCAAATTCGAGATTCGAATTCGAAATAATCAAATACGAATTAGTTTTGGAATTCAAATAACTTTCGAATACGATATGAATATACATATACTCAATTTCTATATTATTTTATTATATTCGAAGTATACGAACTATATATATTACATTATAGTTATAGTATATAATAATTTAAATTAAATAATTAAAAAAGGTAATATTAATCAAACCATACCCTCTCTCTACTTCTCTAGTTTATTAAGTTTCAATATTCATTTTAGTAAACATATGTCTGGAAAAAAATAAGGTAGGATACATCATAATTTGAATTGGTGAAAAAATCGGCATTTAAAACATTCGATTTTGAATATTCGAATAAAAACCGAATATATTCGAATATGTGTAATGATCGAATACATTGTGAATTTATGATTCGAATCCTAAACGAATACGTATACAAATATTCATCAAATTATACAAATACGAATAATATAACTCAATATTCAATTCGATTCGATTCATTTATAACCCTAGCTCATTAAATATTTTATATTTCATGTTTAAATATATTTCATAAATATAATTTATAATTCATATTTTATATTTAAATATTTCAAATACGACATATTTAATATTTTATTTTTTATTAATTTTATACTTAGTATTAAATAAAATTACATTAGTTTAGGGACCCGTACTCCATTTTTCTGGGTCCGCCACTGTGTGGCTGATGGTTCTACGCCTTGGGCCCTTGGCTGCTTGTGCATTGGGATTTTGGGAGCTGCTTGACTTGTGCGTTGCTTTGGTGAGTTGGTTTCATGGTCTCTTTGCCTGATTTAAGGTCTTGGGCTGTTGGGCCTTAGCAGTTGGCCCAATTGGCCAGGATTTTTTTTGCTGACCACCATTAAAACGTCGCCGTTGCAATTAAAAATAAAAAACCCCACCCAGACCTCATTGGATCGTCCCTGTGCTGCAATCCACACCTTGCTCGCCGGAAACTATACACCCACCCGACGGCCCCTTCCAACGGCGGACCAAACCCTAGCTCGTACCGCCGAAGCAGGGGCACCTGCCCCCCTTGCAGATCCGCCCCTGGCTATAATCGCAGTGTCTCTTTACATCCAGCCTTCTTTCCTCTCGTCTTCTTCTCCTTATGCTCGCCCAGTTGTGGCTGGAAAAAAAATCAACCTCTGAAGTTTATTATCTTTGTCGCAGCCCCTCTTCAATTCTGCAGTAGGCTATTTCTTGTCGTCGGCATCTTGGCACTGAAATCCGGTCGGTTTTAACAATTTCCTGGCCAGATTTTTCGGATTTTGACCGGTTTAACCAAAGTTTGACCGGTTTTCACCATTTTTCCGGTTTTTGGCATGTAAACCGGTAAAATCATTGTTCAAACTTCAAATACGGCGTAAACCGATCCGGGGGGTCCGTGAGATGTACGCTATTTGTTTGCTTTACATATAACCTGCCTCTTGTTCATTCTTCTTGTAGACGATCATTTTTTCTTTTTCAGTTGAAATGGCTACAGATATGTACTCGGAACGTCCACTTTTTGGTGGCGCCATCGCTTCTACATTTCCCAGCCGCTTCCAGGTCTGCAACTTTTTTCTAATTTCTTAAGTTATTAGTTTTTTTTCTTTGCTAAAGTAATTGCCTAGTTGGTTGTTGAAGTGTTGGAATGTAAGCGGATTAATTGCTTTCTTGGATTCAAATTTTCAGGACGTTAGTACTATACGCCAAGTTCCCGATAATCAGGTCGGCTAGTTTTAAATTTAAAGCATGTCTTAACTTGTTATCGTTTTTTGCTACTTCTGGACTTTAATTGTAACAATAAGAATGTTTTTTTTTCTTTTCATGAATGATAGGAGGTGTTTGTGGATCCCGCCCGGGATGAGAGTTTGATATTTGAGCTTCTTGAATTGAAGCAAGATGTGGCGGATGATGGAAGTGCCACTTGGTTTCTTCAGGACCTTGCTAATGAGCAGGATGCGGAGGGAGCCATTGTAATTCCTTGTTTCTTTTCATACTTTAATTCTTAATTATATTCTGTTTCCAGGTTTTCTTTTGTTTGTGAATTTATGTTCAGCTATGCAGTTTTAGCTCATCACTTTTGAGTTGCGTTCGACTGCTTAGTTTTTGTTGATATGAATCACCCGATACGAATTATTGCCTTATCATATGCTCATAGTAATAGCTTCTCTGGCCGGTTAAGGAAGGGTGGTGCCTTCTTCATATATGGATATGGAGACTGAACCTCTTCACTTTAATGGTGGAGATATAACCTAACAGAGAGGCCTGGGAAGTCTTTTTTTGCTTTTTAATAGAAATTACTCCGTAATATTTTCTAATTTAACTGTAGATTCAAAATAAAATTGTGAATTTCCTTGAAAAGTCACATTATTGGGTGTGAGAACTTATTTGTCAATTGTCACTTTCCCCAAAGTTCTATATCACTCCGTAAGAATGCTAGAAATCAAAAGAATTCTTTCTGAGGTACAGAGGTTGAGATTTCTACGAATTTGACTATTATAAATAAATGGTTGTGGAGTACTGGAGTCCATTGATGGAATATATGTTGTGTGAAAAGCTAATTCTGTTTTATTCCTGGCACATCGTAACAGCGCTACTAGTTTCATGAATATCTAATACATTTTAGTATTTCACCCTTTTAGTGAAAAATCATGAGATATTCACATCTTTAATCTGAACGTACAGTTGATTGAGAAGTCAGAGGTGTTTGATGTTCCTGGACTGCGCTTCAGGGCCTTGCCTTCTTTCATTTCTACTGCTGTTGGTCAAATGGTATGTATTCCTCATTCAGTTGCAGTAAAAATGGGGAAGGGCTCACATATTTGCAATTCTGAGTGACTCGTTTTTTCTGATCCTTGGGGTAGGGTAATTACATCTCAGCATGTAATATGCACCCCTTATTCTTTAAGCACCGTTGGCAGATTGACCAAACCTTGAAACAAGATTAAATGATCAACATTACAGCGATCTCAAATAGTTCAGTACCCAGTATATTCTACTGTTTTTTTTTTTTGAGTAACCAGTATATTCTAATTGATGCTCTCTTGACAAGCATATCAGTTTTTTTAATATAAAAACGTGCCGATTTTGTATAACTGTTATCCTTCTTATACAAGAACAACTACATCCAAGCCTTAGTTCCAAAAGATTTTGGGGTCGGCTATCATACATGATATTGGAGCCAAAAAGAAAGAAAGATAAGAAAGATAAAAAGGATAAAAAGACAAGGTAAAATAAAAAAGATTAATAGGATAAGATAAATTTAAAGATAAATATAAAAGTGATATGATAAAAAGGATAAAAAGAATATTTATAAAATAAAAAGGATAAAAGGAATAAAAACATAAGAAAGATAAAAAAGATAAAACGATAAAAGGATAAAAAGGGAGAAAATAAATCACTTATCCGCACAAATATTCGCTCTCCACTTTGCTCTCTCCAAAGTCATATCCTCATCTAACTCAAGAAGAAACATATCAATCTTGAGTCTTGCTCTCCCTCTTTTCCTTGCCTCTTCTCCCCTCTGCTCAATTGCTATCCTTTCTATCAAGAATAAAATACACTTTTGTGTTTCCTTTGATTGACTTTTAGAGTATCACTCTCTAGTAAAACATTTAATAAAACAGTAAACTGTAATGTTTTGAGATCTGGATGTAGAGATTTTTATGTTAACTCATGCGTAAAGATTGAACCTTAACAAGTTATATTTCAATGTCTTCTGCCATGCTGCTATGAGGAATATAAAATATGATAACCCTTCTGTGATTTTTTTTTGTTGTTTTGTGATTTTTTAATCCCATCTTTAATACTAGTAATATATATCCAGTATGTCATTCATCCAAGTACTCATTTTCAGGCTATATCAAAGGGAAGGCAAGGGAGGGAAGCACAAAACTTGGTCAAGGTGAGTTTCTGAAATTTTTACTTCGGCGAAATGACTAGACTTGTAAAATGAGATCTAAGACATTTTTTCATTACAGGTTTATTTGGCAAATGTGCGACTCAAGGAAGTTACTACTGATGTTCTGATCACAGCATATGAGCCTATTGTAATCAAGTAAGGAAGAAGATGCTCCTTCAGTCCCTAACTGTTTGGTTATATTTTTAGTCAGAAACTTGGTTCTCAATATATCATTTTGTAAATGATTTGTTATGGTTTTTTATGGTAGCTCGTTAAGTGAAAGCGCAACCACAGTTGGGGCTGGTATAGCTGTTCCTGCTGAGCAAGCTGGATGTATGCCAATGTCTGAGGTCTTTAAACTTGCGGTTTCCAGCTTTAAAGTGTACAATTGGGGACTTTTTAGTACTGGTTGAAGTTGAAGTCCGCAAAGATTCCATTTCAGTATAGAGTCTAGTGTGTGTGTATGTGTGTGTTTGTATGGAATTCTTTTTCTGTAATGAAATTACGTAGTAGTATGTAAATGTTGCCTAGCCCACATTCAGTTTTACATTATTCTATGCTATTTTTCTTACTTCAAGGGGGGTTTTCAGCAAATACTTGATCATCTTTTACCCTATGCATCTTTGCCCTCTAACCCTCTTGGGTTCTAGTCCAGTTTTGCATATTTCAGATTTAACATTTGGCTTCAATATCCCCACTCCCTACAAATATAACACATTGTGTTTAGATCTTGTAATTTTTTTTCATACATGTAATATACGTTGTTTTGCTTTTAATCTATCTCCAACTCTGAGTTCATTGGTTGAAAGAGGGTGACACTAACTCCAAATTCTTTCATAATTATGTTAAATCTAAACATGCCAAACTCTCTATTTATAAGATTAAAGATTCCCATGGTCAATGGATCGAGGATCAATCCCTTATTGGCCAAACTGCTGTGGACTTTTTTAAACCTCTGTTTACTCAAGATGAGGCCCCCCAGACTATTAATCTGAATACCATTCTCCACCATCTTCCCACTTGTATTACCGAGGGGGACAACCAGTCTCTTCTTGCTCCAATCACTCTCACTGAGCTCAAAACTGCTGTGTTTGCTCTTAATAAAAATAGTTCTTCTGGCCCCGATGGGTTTAATGGCAGTTTTTACCATGACTGTTTTGATATTATAAAGCAGGACCTTTTGAATGCTACCAGAGAGTTCCTTTGTGGGGTTCCCATTCCCAAAAGTATAGGTCACACCTTCATCACCCTTATCCCTAAAGATTTTAAACCGGACACTTTTCAAAAATTTAGACCGATAAGTCTAAGTAACTTTATATTAATAAAATCTTTACCAGAATTCTTACTACCAGGCTCACTCCTTTTCTTGGTAAAATTATTTCTACTAACCAGAGTGCCTTTCAAAAAGGGAAAGAAATTTCTGATAATATCCTTGCTATGAAAGAACTCACTCACTGTCTTTCAAAGAAAGTTCCTGGTCACAATGTGTTTTTCAATATTGACATGACCAAAGCCTTTGACCGCATTTCTTGGTCCTTTCTTAAGATTGTTTTGGAGAAAATTGGTTTTCACCCTATGTTTATAAATCTTATCCTAAACAACTTAAAAGGGACTTGGTTTTCTATTCTTATTAATGGTTATCCTCACGGCTTTTTTAATCCCACACGCGGAGTCAAACAAGGTGATCCGCTTTCTCCTATGCTTTTCATCATTGTGACGGAGGTCCTCACTAGGAATCTTAATCATCTTTACACTGAGGGTGGAGGTAAACCGTATTACTCGCACATTGGTCTCCCTATTATCTCCCATTTAGCTTACGCCGACGACTTGATCATTTTCTCTAATGGTAATAAGCTCACTTTGCAAAAACTTTTTAAACTTCTTAACCATTATGAGCTCCTTTCTGGGCAGAAAATCAATTGTGATAAAAGCTCTTTCTTTACTGGCCCTAAGACCCTCCTGGTACTATTAATATGATTAAACATGTTTCTAAAATGAATAAAGGGAATTTCCCTTTCATGTATTTGGGGGTTAACATCTATCTTGGGAGAGCGAAAAAAGCTATTTCTCACATCACGTGAGTAGGATTGATCAACGCCTTAATAGCTGGAAGAACAAAGTTTTCTCCCAAGCCGGTAGAATTATTTTGATCAAACATGTGTTGGCCACCTTTCCGCTTTATACTATGGCCTCCTCAAAGGTCCCCAAAGGGGTCCTTAAGGACATTGAAAAACGCTGCATCAAGTTTCTTTGGCAAAAAAGACCAAAACTCCTCTAGCACTTTTAGATGGAGGTCTTGGGCTAACTGCTCCTACCCCTTTAATGAGAATGGTCTGGGCTTTCGCAGGTTGCAGGACATCCAGGACAGCTTCTTTCTGAAACTTTGGTGGAAAAAAGACTAGGGGCAAAGCATCTGGGCTTTCATTTTCAATGCCTTAAGTTCTTTTACTCTTTCTGTTTTCTGGCCTTCTATGGTCACTGTGCTTAATTTATATAATTCCAACACCAAAACTCAGGTTAACAACGGCAGTAGCCCTTTCTGGGATTCCAATTGGAGTCCTTTCGGGCCTCTCTATAGACTGTCCCCTGTGGCCCATGACCCCATCACCATAAGAGAGGCCTACGATAATATTCATAGTTATGTTGGTGACTTACCTCACCACATAAGAACTTCCCTTATTAACAACAGTCCTTCCTTTGAAGAGACTCCGGACATAACCCACTGGACACGCACCAGTGATGGTGCCTTCTCTCTTAAAACGGCCTATGATGAGATAAGGAAGAAACGCCCCAAAATTAAAAATCTTCATCTTTTGTGGAAGAATCTGATTCCAAAAAAGATTTCCTTCTTCCTTTGGCGGATCTCTAACAATCTTATTGTGTGTGCTGACTCGCTCCAGAAAATGAGTTTTAATGGGCCTTTTAAATGTCCTCATTGCAACCACCTCTATCAACCACTTCTTTTTGAGATGTCCGTCTCACACTCCAATATGGAGCTATTTTAATACTCAGAGCCATCGGTTGGATGGAAATTTGAAGGACAACATACTTAATTGGGCCCATCATATATCCTTTCTAATATATGCCGTCATTCTTTGGAACCTCTGGAAGCTGAGAAACAACACCCTCTATGACGATATCCCCCCGAACTACTCTGAGGCCATTTACAACATCCGTCGGGAAATCTGCTCTCTAAACGATTCTAAAAGAACTATTAGGGCCCTTAAAAGTAGACCCAAAGTGGTCTCTTGGAATCCTCCTATGCTTAACCATAGAACTCTCAACATAGGTTACACTAATAATGGGCTGGCCCATTATTTTGGTTTTTTGGTAAGGAACCATTTTGGCGATATGGTCTTTCATCACAAAAGGAATCTTTTTGGTACCTCCACGATGAGGGCTTTCATTGAGGCCTATTATGATTTTCTCATTTTATGTAGGGACAAGAGGATCTATTACTCTACTATCCAAATTGATAATGCCCAAGTCTTCCAGGCCATCAACCTTCATTGTGTGCAGCATTGGGATCAAATCTTCATCATCTCTTGCATTCGAAGGATTCTACATCAAAACCACATCACACAAAATCTTGTTAACGAAAAAGTCAATTGTGCAGCAAAGGAGATTAGTGTGGGAGTTGATGTAAAATCCAATAGATTCTGCAATATTCTTAAATTCGATGCTATTGCTTTTCCTTATATTATATAGATTTCCTGTTTGGGTAGGCTTTGGCCTAGTCCTCCTACCGTGTATCTTGCTCTCTCTCAACCTTGAATAAATGGTAAGGTGTTCCCCAGCCCTTACCCCATCCTACGATGGTTTGCCATTGGGTTCAAAAAAAAAAATCTATCTCCAACTCTGAGATCATTCCATTTTAAAAAGCTTCCGCATATATCACCTTCTTTGAGGATCAAGCATATTTCAATGCACCTGTGGAAATTGAATGTCTCTTAGTAGTCATGGACCCGGTTCGGGCCGCCCGGCCCGGGACCGGCCCGGCCCGGCCTGCTGCTGTGCGGGCCCGGAACCGGCCTGGTTCTCGGGTCCGGCTCCGGGTCGGGCCTAGGCCCGGTGGGGGGGTGGGTCCGGGCTCGGGCCTTGTATTTGGCGAACCAACCCGGCCGGGTCAGGCCCGGGTCCGGGCCTAATTGATTTTTTTTTCATTTTTTAGGGTTCCACCCTGGTTGGGCTTGATAGTTAGGAGGGGTTTGGGGGGGGGGGGGGTGAGGGGTTAGGAAAGTAAAAAAAAAAAAAAAAACTGGAGGACCGGCCGAGACCCAGTGGCTACCCGGGCCGGTCCAGGGCCTTCCTTAATCCTTCCCAAAAAAAAAAAAAAACCCGGCCGGGCCCGGCTCGGGTCCATGACTATCTCTTAGGTATTGTCTATTAGACTATTACCAGTCTTAGGTAGTGCTGTTAACGAACCGAGCTTTCGAACTCGAACCCGAGCTGAGTTTTATGTTCGAAAAATAAATCGAGCCGAGCTAGAACATAGTAGTATTTGGCTCGGTTCGAACCCAAGCCTATCGAACACCCTGAAATTATAAATATAATTTATATATATGTCAAAATTTAAATATAATTAGTATGATTTTATGAATTTAAATATGATTATTAACGAACCAAATACTTGTCGAATCATTCTAGCACGAGCCTATTAACGAGCATCACCTAAAATTTTAAATTCGAGCATATTTATCGGGCTTATTGAGCGCTCGGTTCGAACATCGAATGCCTATTGAGTCGAACGCGAGCCTCATTTGTAAAGCTCGTCGAGCTTCGAGCTCGAACCCGAACACCACTAATTCCTTATCGAGCAGAACTCAAGCTTTGGGTGTTCGGGTTCGGCTCGGCTCGTTAACGGCCCTAGTCTTAGGATGGTTTTACTTGGACTGTGATTAATTGGTCTGGTCTGTTTAAGTTTTGTCTGGTTTGAACTGGTTTGGTCTGGTCAACGTCTGGTCTCTGTGAATTTTATAACTACGCAAGTCAAGTCTGTTCTGGTTTGTTTAAGTCTGGTCCGGTCTGGTCTTGAGGTTTAAGTCTAGTCTGGTCAGAGACTGAAAATAGTCCAAGTAAAAACATCCTTACTTCATTGTCACCTCCTAGTCCTCCATTGTCTTCTCCCTAACCTCTCATTACTTATTAGCGTTGATCGCGGTCTGCGTCTAGTGAGGATGTCTCTAATAATGACCTTGTTGATTCATCCCCTGCTCCATCTCCTTTACCTACTCTAGCCCAACATGAGACATCAACTCAACTTGATCTGAACTCGAAAAGGTATATGATGTGAGTTTTCTCGCACTTAAAATAGATTGTATTAAAGGGTAGAAGTACGAGTATCGTCTCCACAGGGACGGACAAAAGGGAATTAAGAATTAACTAAATTCAGCGATGAAAAAGAAATAAAATAAAAATGAATGCAATTGTGCGAGATTGGTGGTTTGGAAAATTAAAATGCAACTAAACGATTAAAATAAATGGGTTCCCTCTAATTAATGACTAAGGGAACATGGATTGATTCCGGGGTACTCAGATTTCTGGCAGATCAGTCTTAATCACATGAAAATTGTTTAATTGAGCAATATTAGTCAATACTAAGTTCTAACTGCTCTCGCGGCGTAAAGTACAATAATCTAGGGAACCAGACTGATCTCTCATGCGACAGGTATCTAAAATTATTGCTAAAACGAGCGAGCGT